CCAGAACAAGAGTGTTACCAACTGAACTAACAAATAAATTAAAGATTGAAAATTGCGAATTTGCTGGTTTGTTATTTAGTGGTTCAATGTGAATGTGAAACTGTGGGTCACACTGGCTCAATGGTAGCACTCACCTCCGAGTTAGAAGGTTATGTGGGCAAGCCCCATATCGGGACTTAGAATCCATAAAGTCTATTCTGAGTCTACATCCCAAGTGCAGTGCTGGGGTGTGCTGCTATGTCAAAAGTGCCATTCTTCAGATGAGATGTTAAACTGAGTTCTCACAAATTTATCCCCCAAATAAAATTAGTCACTTACTCTATGGATGTTGATGGGACATTACTGTGCACAAAATTGACTGCCGCGTTTGTCAATAAAATACACAAGGTCACACCACTTTACAATATATCCTGTCAAGTGCTTTGAGACGTCTCGACAACGTGATGAGGCTATATATCAAATGCAAGGATTATTATATCAATTAGTTTGAAGTTGGGTGACAACTACTTCATGGTCCTATTATTCTTCAATATTTATTATAATATGCAAACACTTTTAAAATAATATATGAAGTATGTCACATAGGCACATGCACTCTATAATAAAGTTACTTCATGTGTATATTTGGTTTCTAGCTATAGTATTATTTGTGCATGAAAGATAAGTAATTATATACCAGGTTGAGAAAATTCAATTAATATACTTGAAAACATGATATATCTTAAAGTCTTACATTGTAATGTCATCTAATGTATCTTGAAGCAAATAAGTTCACCTGAACATCAAAATATGCATTTATAAAAAAAGTCATGAAAACCCATAATTTCCCTTACTTGTTTAATAAATTATAACTAATACTAATAGCTGAATTGTAGGGCAATATAAACTCAAATATTCTAATGACATTTGTAAACTATTCAAGTTTTACTTGAGCAATATTATTGCAGCTAAATACTTGCAATTTGCTTCAAAGCATACATTATTCTGAGTAAGGTCATTATTTATGTATCATCTTAAATCTTGGTTCCAAAGGAGATCAAACTTCAAAGGATTATGTTGCAGTGGTGGCCAGTGCTTCAAGCACAAGATTTACTTAAGATTTACAATCCTCAGAAATCTGTAGGTATGAAACCTAAAACAAAATAATAGCAGACATTTTGCATGCAATGTTTAAATGTTTTACCATGCTTTCTTATGTCATTACTTTCACAAAAATGTAAACCATTCATCTAATTAATGAGATTTCTATGGTGTAAAATTTACTGTTTTGACCTCAGCTAAACTTGAAGCAAAACATGAGTATTCATGAGGGCACTTAGATGAACAGAATGATCAGTGAATTTTGTACTTCTTCCTGAACCAGTGTTGATAAGTTTTCTGAAATCAGATTAAAAGAAAAGTATTCTGAGATATTAGTTTTACAATGTCATTTTCTAATGGGAACTTTGACAGCTGATGTGAAAATCCAACAGTTTCTGTGTATTTATTTAAAAGTATCGCTACATTAAACCAAAGAAAAAATAAATCTGTATCCGAGTACAATCATATGAAATGGTTTTGAACATTTGCTGAAAAGGGATTATAGCTACAACACTGATCATGTTGCTTCATTGATTCTATTTAAGAACACAAAGTATGAGAATTGCTTTGACTCTCCTGGTGATTGAGCAGTTTGAAAGTGCAAAACAATTTCAATGGTTGTACTGTTCTGTGAAAGATGTCAGTATTATTCTGTAGTGATGCGAAAAGAACAGGCTTTTGGTCTAAAGTGTAAATTCAGCAATATTTTTTAACTGTTCCTGCCATTTTATAAAATCCGTTATGTTAATTATAAAAAGAGCGGTTTGTAAGTAAAAGGCAAGGGTTCAAATTTTACAAAAACACTGATCCCCTTATTGAATTTCATTCAGCCGTATTACGAATTCCTAAATAAAATATTCAACCTTAATTCTATTTTCTACAGTACATGCACTTATATGTGGCAAATGATTTATGGGGTAAATTTGCATGAAAATATAATTCATGCTGTTACTATGTTCTTCATGGAAAAAGCAAAGGCACCATGGGTGCACACTTGAAACATATAAACTCTTACTCTGTGCCCATGAAGGACCAGTCATTCTCATTTTATGGCACGGTTGTTCACTTGGCAAGAATCATTCACCAAGCTTTTTCTTCATCTGAGCCATGAGGAACAGACTGATTCTTTATTCACTGAATTTGATTTGGTTCAGAGAGGCAACCTATTTTTGCTTATAAACGAAAATCAGCTTATTTTGTTTAAAAAGGTTTGCTATCCGTCTCATCTTTCATCATCATAAATCTGATTTGTAACATTTTCATTGTCCAATTCGTTCTGTTGCCTGCAGGTTTTGTAGCAGTTTGATGTAAATATCATGTTGAATTAATGCAGAATTGCAATTACAATGCAATTACAACTGTGGCTCTAAGATTGTTCTGAATTAATGTTTGGTGTTGCACTTTTTTTAGTGTAACTACAAATGGTGTGAAGCTGTGTTCTTAAAGTTTAGAGAATTCCCAGGTGGTACATATAGTCACTTATTTAGTTCACATACTGATTGTCTTACTGGCTTTTCACTCATACTAAAAATATCTGCGATTTTAATACTTTTTGGCATTGGTATGTTTAACAGTACTTCTGCATCTGGGGTTACCTAACCAATTAAAGCTTTGGTTCACGTGATCGAGGATGTATCTTTACTTCCAAGTTTCATCGATTAGCCAGACAGGCCGGTCAACCATAAGAATAATACCTTGGATTACTTGGTACCTGCATGGCTATATCAAGTTTACCAAGTCACTTACCCCTGCCACCCCCAACCCCTCCCCCAGGATATAATATAAATATGCAACTTTATCAACCATGAGAGTGTGAAGAGCTGAGTGGACCCAGATGGATTCAAATTGTGTGTGTCAGCCGAGGTCCCATCTGCCTGTTCAGGCAGATGTTAAAGATCCCATGGAACTATTCGAAAAGAGAAGGAAGTTTATCCCAGTACCCTGGCCAACAAACCCCACAAATAAAATTGGTCACTCACTCCACTGCTGTTGTAACATTGCTTGTGAAACTGGCTGCCACGTTTCCCCCACAAAACAGATTATGTAAAATTCACTTTACAAGTACATCCTGTGAAGCGTTTTGAGACATCACTGTAGTTCAGTGGTTAGAACACTCACCTCGCAAGCGAGAGACCTGGATTTGATTCTCGGTAGGGCAAAATGTTGTGCAAGTTTCCTTACTCCACACCCCTCTGTTTACTTAACAGTAAGTAGGAACCTGGTTATTAGTCGATTGCCGAATTGCATTTCCGGGGATGATAGTCCCTCTCCCCCCAAAAATAATAATAATAAATTGGTCACTTCAATCCCCGACTGTTTGTGGGACACTGCTGTGTGCAATTGTCTGCCGCGTTTCGTCCACAAAATATACAATCAATTCACTTTACAGTATATTCTATGAAGAACTTTGAGACGTCTCGAAGATTTGATAAGGTGCTATCATGAAGTCCTATAGCTCAGTGGTTAGAGCATTCGCCTCGCAAGCGAGAGACCTGGGTTCGGTTCCCAGCAGAGTAAAATGTTGGGCAAGTTTGCTTGCTCCACACACCTCTAGTTACCTAGCAATAAGTACAAACCCGGTTGTTAGTTGATTTAGCAGATCGCTTTCGCGGGGTAATAATTCCTTCAAAAAAAAATAATTTGATCACTCAATCCACGACTGTTTCTGGGACATTGCTGTGCGCAATTAGCTGCTGCATTTCGCCCACAAAATATACAATATGCGGTCAATTCACTTTACAGTATATTCTGTGAAGGGCTTCGACACATCACAAAGACGTGATAAGGTGCGATATCAAAGGCAAGGACTATTATTATGATTGAATTCAGAAGATACAGGTGACGCGCCCGTATCACCGTCGCCAAGTTATTTGACGCCAGCAAGAGCAGTGAAACCAGATTACAGTGCAGCAGGAGCACTTCCTCCAGCCGGTGCGAAACCGTTTCAAAACACCGCACGGTCACGGACCGGCCGCGCGAAAAAAAACAAACAAGAGCCAGTCTTGTGTGCGCGGAGTTTCAAATTTGTAGCGCCTCGGAGGCGCATTTGTTTGCGGCGAGTTCTCGGTCAACGAGTTTGGGAGCAAGTGGTGGGGTGGGTAGTGGTGGGGGGGGAGAGGGGAAAAAAAAAGCACACGGCAGTCCGGGAAGGGTTAAATAATCTTTGGCAGTTGTGGTCTGCCTTAGTGTGTGTGTGTGTGTGTGTGGTGTGTGTGTAAGAGCGCTGGCGGATTGGTTCGGGAGCAGCTCGAAGAGGCGGTCCCTCTGTTTGATGTCGGGATGGCCGAAAAAAAATCAATGGGGCTGTACGGTTCCCCCCCCACTACCCCCTCCTCCCCACTACCCCCCCCCCTCCCCTCCCTCCTCTCGGCTCGTCTGTCGCTCGCACAGCACAGCACAGCGAGTGGCGAGACCACTGAGCGGTTGCACGGGACATGATTGGTATATAGCGGCCACTTTCCCGGCGAATATCTCAGTGGCCGCATCGGCTGCAGGTTTCCCCCCCACCTCCCCAACCCCCCACCACCACCAGCCCCCCCCAACCCCCACCCCCCTCCCCTCCCACCCCACCCCCAGTTGAATGACTCGATGTGGCTCCGCGGTGGGCAATGGGGCATTAGAGGGCTCGCGGCTTTCTTGGAGGAGGTTGTCCGGCGAGAAGAGTTACACCCGACCCCCAGGACCCCCGACCCCACTGCTTCCGCGGCTCCCGGCTCTGCTGCTGCTGCTGCCGCCGGCGACCCCGAGCCGAGCCGAGCCGAGCGGAGCTGAGCTGAGTCCCCGCTTCCAGTCGCACACGGGCAGCTGTGACGCTTGAGCGTTTGCCTCCAGGGGAGAGGGTGGGTGGGTGGGTGGTGAGTGTGTGGGGTGTGGGGGGGGGGACGGGGAGGGGGGGGAGGCGCTCTGCTTTCACTCGGGGGAGAGGGGGAATCATGCAGTTTATGGTCTGGGTGGAGGGGCTCCTGTGTCAACTGTTCGTATTTATATCCACTTCTTGGGAATTGCGTTTACACCCAAAACAAGGTACCGTGTGACTGTATTTCTCTTGGCGCTCGGATGCAGATCAGCATTTATTTTTGCTGGGGTTGGGGGGTGGGGTTTTTTTTTTTGGGGGGGGGGGGTTGGGCGGTGGGGGTTTGGTATTTCTAATTGCAATGCTATTTTTAATATAAAAAAGGGGAAACAAAGTATTTATGTATAAAAATGTATGCGCTGGATTTTTCACACCGTGTATCAAACAGCTGTAAAAGTTTATTTAAAAAAGAATATGCCCTTCCCATAGGGGTGGGGGGGAGGTGGTGGGTGTGGGGTGGGGGGGTGGGTGTGGGGGGGGGGGGGTGGTGTGGGGGAGGTGGTGGAGAGTGAGGTGGGTGTGTGGGGGGGGGTGGTGGGTGTGGGGGTGGTGGGTGTGTGGGGGGGGGTGGGTGTGTGGGGGGGTGTGGTGTGTGGGGGGGGGGGTGGTGGGTGTGTGGGGGGGGGGTGGTGGGTGTGTGGGGGGGGTGGGTGTGGGGGGGTGGTGGGTGTGGGGGGGGAGGTGGTGGAGAGTGAGGTGGGTGTGGGGGGGGTGGTGAGTGTGGGGGGGGAGGTGGAGAGTGAGGTGGGTGTGGGGGGGTGGTGGGTGTGGGGGGGGAGGTGGTGGAGAGTGAGGTGGGTGTGGGGGGAGTGAGGTGGTGGGTGTGGGGGGAGTGAGGTGGTAGGTGTGGGGGGGGTGAGGTGGTGGTGGGTGTGGGGGGGGGTAAGGTGGTGGGTGTGGGGGGGTGAGGTGGTGGTGTGTGGGGGGGTGAGGTGGTGGTGTGTGGGGGGGGTGAGGTGGTGGGTGTGGGGGGGGTGAGGTGGTGGGTGTGGGGGGGAGGTGGTGGTGTGGGGGGGGGTGGTGGGTGTGGGGGGAGGTGGTGGGTGTGGGGGGGAGGTGGTGGGTGTGGGGGGGGGAGGTGGTGGGTGTGGGGGGGGGGGGGTGGGGGGGGGGGGGGGTGAGGTGGTGGGTGTGGGGGGGGAATGAGGCTTTTTTAAGTAAATATGTGAAAGCAATATAAATATATATATTTGAGTGTATTTTCTTCTTTTATATATATATTTTCTTCTTTTTTTCCCCCTCTTGAATATTGCCCCCTAACACCCCCCCTCACCCCCCCCAACACCCCCCTCACCCCCCTCACCCTCCTAACACCCCCCCCTCACCCCCTAACACTCCCCAACACCCCCCTAACACTCCCTAACACCCCCCCTCACCCCCCTAACACCCCCCCTCACCCCCTAACACTCCCCAACACCCGCCTCACCCCCCCCCCTCACCCCCCCAACACCCCCTCACCCCCTAACACCCCCCACACGCCCCCCCCACACCCCCTCTTTTCAGAAACCTTCGTGAAGCAACTGACCTCCTATGAGATAGTGACCCCGACGCGGGTGAACGACTTCGGAGAAGCGTTTCCTCACGCGCATCACTTCAGGAGGCGGCGAAGTCCCGACCCGGAGCCGTGGGCGCCGAGGACCCACTACCGGATCGCCGCGTTCGGGCAGCGCTTCCACCTCAACCTGAGCGCCGACTCCGGCTTCGTGGCGCCCACTTACCAGGTCACCCACTTGGGCGGCGGCCCGCGGGGCCACGCGGCGGGGGATGCCTTCCCGGGGGAGCGCCCCGACATCCAGCACTGCTTCTACACCGGTCACGTCAATGCTGACATCGGCCACACCGCCGTGGTCAGCCTGTGCACCGGGCTGGTAAGTGTGTCCTTTGGTGGCTGAGGGAGGGAGGGGTGGGAGGGAGGGAGGAGGAGGTGGGTGGTTGGTGGGGTGGGAGGGAAGGGTGGAGTGGTGGTGTGTGGGTGGTGGTGGGAGGGAGGGGAAGGGTGGGTGGTGGTGGGTGTGGAAGGAAGGGTGGGTGGGTGGGGGAAGGGTGGGTGAGTGGGTGGGTGGGGAAGGGTGGTGTGGTGGGTGGGGGGAAGGGTGGGTGGTGGGTGGGAGGGAAGGTGGGTGGTGGTGGGTGGAGGGGAAGGGTTGGTGAGTGGGTGGGTGGGGAAGGGTGGGTGGTGGAGGAAGGGGGGGTGGGGGTGGGTGGGAAGGTGGGTGGGTGGGAGGGGAAGGGTGGTGGTGGTGGTGAGGGAAGGGTGGGAGGGGAGGGTGAGGGTGGTGGGGAAGGGTGGGTGGTGGGTGGGGAAGGGAATGGGGGGGGGAGTGGAGTGGTAGAGGTGAGGGTGGGAGGGAAGGTGGGGGGTGGAGGGGAAGGGTGAATGGTGGGGGGTGGTGGGGAGGAGGGTGAGTGGGTGGGGGGGAAGGGTGGGTGGTGGTGGGTGGGAGGGAGTGGTGGGTGGGAGGGAAGGTGAGTGGGTGGGAGGGGAAGGGTGGGTGGTGGGTGGAGGGGAAGGGTGAGTGGGTGGGAGGGGAAGGGTGAGTGGGTGGGAGGGGAAGGGTGGGTGGGGAAGGGTGGGTGGTGAGTGGGAGGGGACGCAGGGAAAGGAAAGATGGAGCTATCGGATGATTTCAATGGTGACTTTGTCTTGGCAACTCTCCTCGCTTTGGCAGCCCGAAACAGCGAGAATGCAGTGAGAGAGAGAGGGTTTGTCTCGAGGGAAAAGAAAGTCCTCGGCCTAGAGCTCGGCTCTGCTCAATGGTCCCGGTGATCATCACTTCCAGATCTGTCCGCAAGAACGCATTAGTTTCTGTCAGTTTTGGTACCATCCCAATCCACAGCGTAATTACCATCCGGCGCGACCTGCATTCCAGCAAAGCGTGGTCACAGTCTGAGTGAAGCCTTTCGTGTGTCACATTAGTTTGGTAAAGTGTCACTTGGTTGATCTGTGTTGAACGACACTTGTGTTAAAAGCAAACAAACAAACAAACAAACAAACAAACAGACGTCAATGAGGTTTGCAACAGTGCACACTTGCAGTTGTGGTTTGCTGCTGTCAGCCTTCGGAGTTGACACAGATGAAGATTAATCATAATTATCATTGAAGATGAAGGGGATTTTTTTTACAGAGTGAGAGGAGGGGTGGGAGAGAGAAAAGCTCGTAAGAAACTAACTGGGTCAGGTTGTTGGTCAGGCTAACCGGAAAAGCACCAGCACAATCTTGGAAACAGCCCCTCTCATGCCTGCGTTAAGCAGGAAGATTAACCTTGTGGCCAGGAGAAACTGTTTGAGATGTCGAAGGCGACGTGGAAGAATATCTGACATCCAGTGATTTAAGCAGAGCAGTTGGGGGTGGTATGGAGAGCAAGAGTATTGAAGCCAGTAATGACCTATTTAGATGCTAAATCAAATAATGCCAACGCTAACCGTTTGAAGAGGATTTTCCCCTGGTTTATTGGATGTTCAAACTCAAGTTTACCCGGCAATTAGGCTGGTATGATTCTTAGCCTTCTCAAATATCTTGCTATTCATGCTGTTCTATATTAAACCTGGCTCTGTTACACGGTTTGCAATGCTTACCATGGGAGGGGTGGGATTCAGTGTGCTGCATCCTGAACAAATGGGAAATGTAGGCGCTGACCAGGTTTAAGGAGAGCTTGATGGTGGAATCACTCCAGCAGATTACAAGTTATCTGTGGTATTGCTTTACTCGGTTGTTAAGGCAAGTCTTGAATAGGAGGACATAGAGGAGAAAACAGATTCTGTTGAATCATTATCCTTAGTGTTGTTACTAGGGCTAGTTACTACATTCTGCTGCCCGCATACCGACCCGGACCAAATTCCGTACCTACATCTCACCAGTTCTGGCCAGGCTCCTCTGGCTCCCCATCACTGAATAGATCGACTTCAAGATCGTCACACTTGTGTTCAAATGCCTCCACTATCTTCCTACCTCTCCGACCTCCTCTCCCCAATCCACCAACTGGTGCCTCCGGTCGACTGGCACTGGTCTCCTGCTTGTCCCTTGCCCCTTCTGCCCCACCATCGGAGGTTGCGCTTTCATCCACTATGTCCGATACTCAGGAATACTCTTCCCTCAATCCCTCTGCCTTGCTCCCTCTCTCCCCTCTTCAAGTCCCACCTGAAAAGCTTCCTCTTTGACTCTGCTTACAATCAGCGCCCCCCCCCCAACCCTGGCTCGGAGTCAGGCTCCACCACTGTTAAGCGCTCTGAGACACTACCCTGCATGGAGGGTGCTATTTAAGTGCAAGTTGTTGTTATTTGGTGATGAGTGAGAAAATGACTTGTTTATACTTTAAATAGATCATGTGTTCTGGTTGTGGGGTATTGCTATATGCAAATTGACTGCTGCTTTTGCTAACAAATACACAGTCACTATACTTGACAGTGAATCTTGTGAAGCACTTTGAGTTGATTCGATGATGTGATAAGGAGCTATAATTAAAGCAAGGATTTTTTATGTTCTACAATAATGTACAACTTGTTAATATATCTGGCACATCAAAAAATAATAAAACCAAAGCCTATTAGAAACACAAGCAAAGCAAAGGCTGCCAACCTCATGGTTTTGATAAGTACTTGAGCTTGTAATGCAAGCTGTCACTCAACTGCAGTACCAGCAAATGCAACATTGTCAGATGGTTGGACAAGACATTAAAACCGAGAATCTGTCTGCCTGGTTCGGTGAGTGTTAAAGATACTATGTTTCTATTTTCCTGTCCAACCTTCCTCCACCGTCATCAAAATATAGCATCGTCAAAAATCAGACTGACTGTCCATTCATCTCGATGTTAGTTGTGGGATGATGCTGACACAGATTCGTTGTCTCATTTGCCTACATATAACAGTGACTTGACTGCACTTCAAATTAACTCATTGTATGAAGCACTTTGAGATGTTTTAATATAGTTAAGTGCTAAATCATATAATAATGATAATTCTTACATTTGGTCTAGTGCCTTTCATAGGAGGACATCTCCAAGCACTTCACATGATATAATGTAAAATGTCGTGATTGTTTTGGGGGCAAACAAAGCAGCCAATTTGCGCACAGCAATATCTCACCAAAGCTATGAAGTGAATAACCAGGTTTATTTAGGGAATTGTTAGCCAGGACATCGGGAGAAACTTCCTTTTCTTTTTGAGTAGTGCCGTGGAATCTTTCACATCCAGTTAAGCAGCAGATGGGCCTCGATTTAACACCTCATCCAAAGGACAGCACCTCCAGTAATGCAGCACCCCCCAGCATTTTATTAGCGTGTCAGTCTAGACCAGTGATGATGGATATTGATGTCAGGTGTCAGCCTGGCTCAGTTGGAGGTAACAAGAATAATCCTAACATTTGACACAGTGCCTTTCACATTGGAGACATGTCAAAATACTTCACAGGATATATTGTGATGTGGAGTGACTGTGCATTTGTGGGCGAGCGAGGCAGCAATTTGCACACAGCAAATGAAATGAATGACTAGTAATTTGGGTAATTGTTGGTCTGGATACCAGGAGAAACTCCCTTCTCTTTTAAATAATGCCATCTATAATGTCTAAAGCAGGCAGATGGGACCTTGGTTTAACATTTCATATGAAGGAAACCACTTCTGACACAGTTGCAGTTTCAGCATTGACAGTATGAGTTGGATGAGGTCACATATAACTGAGGTTCTGTCTATCTGTTTAGTTGGGTGTTACAGATACAATGGCACTATTCAATAAGAGAAGGGCATTTCCCTATTGTTCTGGCCAACAATCACCAGGAAAAAATTGGTCCATCCATAACAAGGGGGTGTAAATATAAGGCAGCAGATTTAAAAGTGAGTTTAGAAAAACTGTGTAACACAGCGGGTGGTGAGAATGTGAAACTTAATGCCAGAAGCAGTTGTTGAAGCAGAAAGTGTCAGTGCATTTATGAGGAAACTCAATGCATACATGACACGAGGCAAGGAAATTAGAGATTTAATAATGTTGACTAAAGGCTTGGCTGAAGAGATGTGTTTTAATAGGTCTTTAAAAGTTTGAAGTGGGAAAGCAATGCAGTATTTGTTTGGAAGAAAATTCCAAAAGGTGGAGTGACTCACAACTTGACCACTGGTGGTGAAGGGAAAGGAGTGTAGAGCAAGTAATAGACCAGAACAATTGGCTGCATCCTCAGCTGTACTGAACTCCAAATCCACATCACCCCAATCCTTGTCCCTGTTGCAGAATGGATCCATTTCAAGATCCTCTCACTTGCATATAAATCACTTTATATCCTGGCACCTCCCCAGCTCTCCAACCTGCTTATACTCCACTTTTCCACTTCTACTCACCTGGCTTCCATCTCCTGCACATCCCTCACCTTCTCCATTTCACCATCAGTAGCTGTGCTTTCAGTCATGACATCTCAAGACTCTGGATGTCTCTGCTTCAATCATTCTGCTTTGCCCCTTGTTGTCTTCAGATCACACCAGAAAACCTTGCTTTTCAACCATGCCTACGGTCACCTCCCCTCTCTTTCTGGCTCAATGTCAAGCTTTGCCACAATTAACTGCTCCAAGATCTTACCCCGCTATATAGATGCAAGTTGTTGATGTTGAGTTAGAAAAGGAGGATATGGGCTGGAATGTAGGGCTGGAGAAGATTTCATTGGTTGCAGGAATACAGTCTAATTTAGGAAAAAGCAGAAAGGGATTCTTTAGGATTTCAGACATGAGGTATGATAAAGAAACTATTAATTGAAAGGCTTATAGTGTTTGAAAACTAGGTTCTGCCACAAAAACAAATTTACCAACACTGCAAAAAAAAAGGAAATCTTCAATGATATAAATGCATTGTGGAGGTGAGGGACGTGCAGGAGATGGAAGCCAGGTGAGCC